TCTATCTTATTAAACATTTTACACCAAAAATATGATTCCAGTCTAGCACCCATGTTGACAAATTTAGGCGAGCAACCCCGCTTCTGAAACTTGTGCAACTCCTTCGGAATCCCTCGATCGTGGAAGGGATCGAGGAGGATACTGCGGGATGAGACTCCGAACATTAATATGTTCGAGGGAGGTTGTTGGCAAGAAAATTGCGACGCTCGTTTTTGAGGAAGGTTCAACCCCCCTATTCGGGTTTTCTCTTCCCTTTTGAGGTCTCCTGCTATTTTTGCCAGCATGCCTTCTGCATCAAACATGTAGACTAACTCAGAGCCACTCGGCATGACTGTCAAGCCTACAGTTGTAAGCTAATACTCTTACTGCATATTGCCAGGGATGTTGCTTGCTCCCCTAGCCCCTGACCGTTGTAATTAGTGGTTGTGCATGACAATTCTTCTCGTGATCACATTTGGCTTTCATGGCAAACTTCCTTAAGTCTCCATCCATGCACCGAGAGTCCCACCACCAAGCTAATTGTGCCGCCGTAGATCACCAATGCAGGCCTTACAGGGAGGTCTGCCGGAGAATTCATTGAACACAAACTCCCTCGTTGCACAAGTCTTGGCCGAACCGGTCGGCTGAGGTGGGCTTTCTCAGCACTGAGAATGCTGCAGTGCTCGTGCAAGCGTCCGCACGGCATGGAAGGCAGCGCGCCTCCAGATTCTGTGGTGTGGAGAGCTAGTGTCACCGGTGGCAAATTCATGTGCAGGTTTAATCTCGAATGAAGCTTCTTACGCGGCAAAGGCGAGGGGCCCTAGCATGCCATGACAGATCGCATGGACTGCAGCCAACGGCCTCCATCTGTGTGTCAGAAGCTGATCTTGATTAAGCTCCAGCACCTGGACATCAGGAGGTTGTTGTATCTTTCAATATGTGTTGTATGATCCTTGAAAACAAGTGCCGTCTCAGTGTAGAGGATCCTGCTGGACAGGCACTTCTCCCAAGGAGCAGGCTGGCAGTAGCAGGTCCGGGTTTTGGAGCATTGTGCACAGCGCATCGTCTGCCTGGACACAACGCAAACGTCCATAACAAGTGGCGTGGTACACAGCCAACTGTCAACCGGCACAAAGCACCGCCTCTGTAGGATCTGGCACCGTGGTCTCCCGTGTGGTGGCCTCCTCTGCCAGGTCATTGGGGTCCGCTATAAGTACGACCTGGCAAAATGCTGCAAAGCCTATGTTTGACTGCGTAGTCTGCTTCTCTGCTCATATCCGAGGTCCTGGCAGATCGGCTAAGCTTTGTTGAGCTCACATCCACGTCTTCTTGCTGCGGCGTGACTTCAGCGACCTCAGGCCGATGCGTGGCCAAATGGCGTAAATCTGCTAGACTTGCAGAGCAGAAGCCGAGCGGCTCTTGCAAAGAGTGATGGGCACAAGAGCTTCACCTGCGTGTGGCTGAAGACCATGGCAGTGTTGATCGCTCTGAAGATCAAACGCACAAACGATAAATATGCATGAGCTGAACAGCGTGGGTGGCTACAGGCACGATTAGTCCGACTACTAATCTTGAGAGCCCCGCTATGCTCCACAGTATCACTGCTGATGATGACGATAGCCTGTATGACCCTTCATATAAAACCTAGCTGTACAGCAGACGCAGCGTGGTGCATAACTTTGTCCGTCAATCGTGCTGTGTAATCTCTGTAAAATCCCAATGATCTGGGTGCCCTGGGCTGAGGCCTCCCGATTGTCCACGGACATGGATCTCTCTGCAGGTGTCCTTCCTGGAAACACCTCTCGCAAATCTGTTTCTGGCTGTGAAGGTCTTAATGTGGGAAGAGATGTTGGCACCACTCTCCCGCATCTTTGCACTTGCTGCCGCTGTAAGCTGGAGACGGGCGCTTTTCAAACAGCAGTCCCTCTATAGACCCTGACAAGTTGCAGCATCCAACGCCAAATCCCAAGTTCTGCATCCTGAGCTCAACGTTAACCGCAAGTCTCCCTAAACCCTAAACCCCTAAACCCGAATGACCCAGGCATGGGGCACGCATGGCAAAGGCCCGTGATGTAAACACAGCAAGGACCTTGCTAATGCGTCCGTACAATCTGGGCTCTCCTGAAGATAGTGGGTTGTTAGAGGTTAATTACGTGCGGAAACGTAAGGGTAGTATTCAGTACTTGACATCATTCCGGATTGGTATCCTCAAGCGTATGTCCTGCGTTCTTGCATCTTGGGGAGTCCATCCCACACGCTAGCTTCGCTGATGCTCTCCTCAACCCCGACTGCCTCGTCGTCTGCGGCCATGTTTCAGTCGCACGCGAAGAGGCCAAAAACATCAAGCAAGGCTCAAGTGACCAAAGGCATTTGCTAAGTGAGAAAATTATGGGCTGAGGGTTCAATAGACTTGGATTTGGCATCTGAACACGCTGCTGACAAGTGTGTCATGCTTTGGAAAGCAATTTGGATTCAGGATGTGACGCAGCGCAATACTGCTCGAAAGCAAATCTGATATGCGAAAGTAAACATAAGGGTCTGTGCAACATTTCTGGCACCTGAGCACTGAGTACTGTCAAGTTGGCAAATTTTGCATGGGCATGCAATAACATGGATGCCCTACAATGTGTGATAAGCCATTCAGTCACTGCTAGACCTTTGGAATGCTGCAAGCCACGCGATGAGGGATGCCAACGCAAGGCAGGCTCAGCGTGGAAGGATAGGCTACTGGCCGAATATCCTGGTAGCTATAGTGCATCCGCTATGACATTCTAGCGGCCTGTCCTGCTATGGCACATCAAAAAAAAGCAGATGTGCAAGGTGGAAATGCTGCGCAGCGCTGAGCAATGCCTGCTCGCTCCAGTCGTCCCGCTTGGGATATTGCGGCCGAGGCTTGCCGTCCTGCCCCCACAGGTAACGCAGTTTAGAGGACTTTGGTGTGTAGAGGCTGTAATATGCATTCCAAATTCAGCCACTCATCTGGGATGGGCTGCTTGGTGAAGATCTGATCATACTTCATACTGGGCCCGTTGGGCATATGTCGGGACAATGGATTGGGGATTTCTCAACTAGGAGGCCAGGAGGTTCTGGGGATTAGAGGAACTGCCATTGAGCCCTACATGGGGGCAGTTTTGAGACTCTCATGTCAAAAGAGACAGCAATCATGTAGCAGCTGAAGAATAGCATCTTGGGGGGACATGTGCGTCTTGCTTAGTTTTTTGGTTGATGACTCGTCTGATACCACTTCCATCTCGTCATTGGGGAGGTCCGCATGATGTCTTAACTATCCAAATCTTTGTGGGGTTTACATTTCGCGTCCATTACTCGTGGGAACGAAAATTAAAGACACGTAAAACCACAGCTTGCTTGCCAGCAACCATTGGAAATGCAAGCAGGTGGTTGGCTCAAGCGGATCGACCTCGTACAGGAATTCGAAGCCAAGCTGTGACTTCGGATCCCGCCACTTTCCGAACCTTCATTCAAACCGCTGCACTGCATAGGAAAATGCGAAACGGGATATGTTGTCGACGACCCCTCAGATCAGCCACAAGCCCCGCCCCGCGTACGGCGGGGCTACTCAACAACGCGCTGCTGAAAAGGTGAGTCATTGCGGATCGAACGAACCAAATGTACCTAGAACTTTATCCTGCTACAATTCTTCAGCGAAAGCCTCAACAAATCAGAAATGAAGGCCCTGTCCGTGACGAGCGCGCTCAGCTTCCGGCCAGAAGGTAAGGTCTGCTTCTTTAGCCCACTCGTCGTAGGGAGGAATCCAGGCCTCCTTCCTTGGCGCGCGTCGCAAGAGAAAACAATGTATGCATGGCACACAACTTGAGCAACCGCTGTAAGGTAATTTTTTGAAGCCTGGAACCATCTTACTGCCACAGCTGCATGCAAGCTACCGCAGGCGAGTCGAAATTGACGCGGCAAAGACGGCCGTCTGCAAAATGTACAAATCCCTCAAAAGCCACTAGGAGCATTCTCATAAGGTGAACTTTCGAGAAACCAACAAATCAAGCAAAGCGGCACCATGGCTGGCACCAGAAGAGTCACAGCCAAGGCTCACGTTCAAGCTTCCCCCACAGGCTTTGGACGAAAGTATAAAAGTATAAAGTGCCTTCGACAGAAATCACTCTTGGCTCCCTCTGTCCGCATTCTATCTGTTTGAAAACATGCGTAGACTGAATGATCTTCAAGGATCCCATTACTTCAGCGGCTTACACTACGAATACCTTACAAAAGCAAAGCATGTCTACCCTACGGAAACCTTACATGCCCAACGCAGCAAATGCAAATGCAACCACAGAAATGAGCCAACAGGCTGACCATTCAACCTGCTGATTAGACCCTGGCTTAACACCAGATTGGGAGGTTGTGGCATACATTAATACGAATCATTTAAATGGTATGAGGACAATGGGATATTGAAAGGTTTACGGTAGAATGCGCATTTTCAAGGGTACAGAAAGAAAGCGCTCAGGCTTTGGAGGGACCGTAAAACAGGCCTCAAGCAGACTGTCTGCACAGGAGCGCGAAGTTGTACACCCTTTTGTACCGCAAGCTCCGCGATCTTTTCGTGCAAGTTCCTACCTCTGCCTGTTCCCGGGCTGCCACGGCCCGCACTGGAAAAGAGCAGGTCTGCTCTGCCATGGCCTGGCACGATGTGCCCGCGACACCTATGTTGTTATTCATCAGCATCTTGCACAGCGCCATGCGCCGTGCCGAAGATGATTGAAAATTTGTCCTGCAATTCGCGCATTTCATACCTTTGTGGTTCCTCCATGCCACTTGGACTAATGGTTCACTAGAGCGAAGGGGCTTCTTTACCATTGTAAGCCAATACAAGCGATCAGCCGACCCGCTTACACACCTTTACTCGGTCTTCCAAGCTAGCCTAGACATCATGCCAGAATAAGAGGGAATAGCTCGTGATCCCACCGACTTTCTAGATCTTGCATCCGAACTGCTAGAAGGTGAGACAATAAACGCGTTCACTCCAGGGCTGCTGCTCGAAGATTGCATCAGTGTCTGCCTGCATTCTTCGGTAGATTCCGAGTAACTACGCGCAACACACAGAACGGCTATCACGCAGTGCGTCTAGCATTGCGCGTCACACGTAGTATTGAAAATTGACATTTCCCCAAGGGTCGTATTCACACTTATGGGCGACGCCAGGAATTTGAGAGACCAACAGCGCATGGCATCAAGAGCCCGCATGCGAATCTTTGGAAAGCTGGAATTGCAACGAACAACTCAGCCTGCCGGACCCTTCTGCCATCAACATAGTTGGGGGAGACCCCTGCGGCTCATTCTTATTAAAACGGAGACCGACAAATGCGAAGTATGGCCCTTGCACGCCCAGTCCATCCCAAGTCAGTTCACGCAAGCAAAGCCCACCTGAAGCCCTTAACACTGTCCTAAACAAATACAGATATATACGATATAACATATGAAATTACTATACATGACATATATGAGTGTATTCATATTGCAAAGTTGCTTGGCTCGGCACTCCGCCGTGAGCGAAGCCGGTGGCCCCCGCGACGCCGGGAGACTCGGTGCAAGCGCTTGCGCCGCTGCTCCTGCCCCAGGGAGCCCAATACCCCTTAATTCAGGAATACACCCTTAAATCATAGTAAGGGGCCTTAGGTCCTAGTTGGTATATTTTAACCTGTATTCCTTCTATTAAGCTATATTTGGAGCTCTGGGGTCGGCTGGATTCAGGTGTAGGTTTTTGCCCCCAACCCGCACATGTGCATATGTATTTGTACACATACATACACAACATACACACGCCAATATTCATTGACATGAGGCTACCGGCCGAAGGACCCATTATTAACCCATAGTTTTGGGACATTCCGTCGTTGCATGCGCTTGTTTGTCACGCGTGGAATGCGACGTCATGAGTTGGCAGGGATCGATTCGTCGAAGAAAGGGCACCAAATTAGTCTTTGCCAAGACCTGCTGAAGGCATATGCTTCAGCAAGGAGAAACCGTCTATGTTCGAGATGAGGACCCTTGGGAAATCCCAAGCTTTCTGCGTGAGCAAGTGCAAGTGAGAGGCAATGTACGGATACTTAGTCTAGAGCTGTTGAAGCAGCACAGAAGCATAAGCTTCACATACCCACCGCTGTGAGCAATCATTAACATGCCATGCCGCCTGGAAGGAGTTGAGGCGTTCCGCTTCGAGGCGGCGCTCCTCTTGTTGTTTGAGATTCTCCCGCAACTCTTCTGCGGCGTGCTGCTGATTCAAGGCGATGGCCTCTGCCATCTGCAGCCTTTTACGCAAGTCTTTGATTTCTAGGGTTAGAGCTTCATACCGCCCCTGCCCGTTCTTTTGCTGGCTAGTCCTTCTCGACATATGCTGGAGCAGAGCCCCTAAAAGTTCCATGGTGGCGTTCTGCAACTTCACTGGCCCTTCGGGCATCGCCTCCGTTTCTTTGGGTGCAACCAATCGCTTCAGTTCTGCTTGACACTCTTCCAGTTGGAAGCGAAGGTCAAGTGTGGCAGCTCGCTCATGCGCGAGCATAGCATGGGCCTTGTCCAGTTCAGAGAGAAGCTTCTCCATCTCAAAACTCTGTTCTGTGAGTTTGTCCTTCAGGGTCTGGTTGGATTTGGCAATGCAAAGGCGCTTGCACAGCAGAGCCCCAAACAGCTCATTCTGAGCTTGCGACTTTTGGTGGCATGCCATATTCTGCTCTGCCTGCTTGCGCAGTTGCTGCTGGAGCTCTTCTGAGTTTTTCTGCTCGCGCTCCAGCAGACGGTTGGACTCTCCAGCGCATCGCCAATCTCGCAAACCTGCTTCTTTAAGACCTTCGCTTCACTTGCCAGGTGCATCCTGTCCTTCAGGAGCTCGCCTAACAACTGAAACTCTGCTTGACGTGCAGCTTCCAGCTGCTCCTTTGGTGCGTCATGTCGGATTGCCCTGTTCTCAATTGGCCCCCTCAATGGTGGGCGCCTTGGGCGCAGGGGTGGCTCCCCAAGTCTCCCCTGGTGACATGCAGAACTTGTCCAACGTTCACACACCAATTTTCGATTCTCTGTTGCCTGTGATTGCGTATGTTCAGCTGTGGCCGTCGAGAGGCTTAAGCCATGCCATTCATGAGCGTCCTGCCGGCCAATCATGACACCCAGGAAAAAACAAACCTTCACGTTTTCCCCAAGGTCGATATAATATAATATTGTAGTAATTGTAGTGTAGTATCGTATATTGTTGTAAAAAAATATAGCCCTCCCAGAAGTGCTGTAGGCAACTTGTCTGACCCTGCCCCATGTGACAACAAAGCATGACATCACGGTATATAATCCCCCTTAAGTAGATAGAATATTAGGGTTATATTGGGGTTATATAGGGATAATGGAAAAGAAAATGGAAACTGCTATATTATAATAGGGTATATACATATATATATATATAGGGGTATAGTCCCCCTCTTAAGTAGATAGAATATGGCTTTAGGTATATTGTAAAAAGATCCCCATATACCCTGTATTCTATCTACTTAAGGGGGACTATAGAATGCCAAAGGAGCTGACATGAGCATTTCCTGGAAGTAACTCCAAGAGTCTGTCTGCAAAGGGATTTCATGTCTCAGGCCCTGGGGTAGGCCTAGATACTTAACAGTATCAGTTTGAGGTCCATGTGAGGTGCACTGCGATATAATTCAACGAAGAAACTAGGACAATGATGCTGGTCATCATTTTGGCACCTGCATTATGACTCACAACTCAAATTCAATTGCTGTTAGACGACGGAGACTGAGGTCGACCTACATACCGGCAATAACATAATTGAAGCGAGTAACGGATTGCAACAGGATTCGAACAAAAACCTAGCACTAGCAAAGGCTTGCTATAGCTTTTCTTGGCTCTGTACAATAGGGACGCTCGCAGTGACCTGTGACAAAAGTCAAAAAATCGATACGCTGCGACTGAAGACGCGACATTTGCTTTCTGTAATCCGGGCAAATTTAACGGAGTAATGGTCCAATCAGATTTCGAAGATCACGCTGTGCACATCCAAAATGATCCTGATTCAGATTGAACTTGATATGTCATTACGCACAAACAGTTTCAGCCTGGGCATGTCATTCGAAAGTTTATGGGGAGGACTGGGGAGGGTTATGGGTTCAGCTATTCCCATTATCAGTATTATTCTTATTATCATATACTATCATTACTCTTACTAGTATTACTATGACTGATATTATTGATATTATTGAGTATTGCTGTTGTAATTTAAAGCCATTACCTTGCTCGCAGCATTCCTGTGCGGTGAGGCACGAGCAGCTCTGATGAGGCAAAAGCAATCGGGGTAATTAGGTTCAACTTTACATATTCAAACTTCCAGACCGTGCAGAATTTTCAACAATCGTGCATCTTGCTGGGAGTTCTTCTGACATAACCAGTCTAGAGCATTGAAACGAACCTGCCATTCAATCCATCTTACGTAAGTGTTTTTGGGGTTGGACAGAGCCCTGTTGAATATGACTGTAAAGGCATGGGCAGATTACTCTTCAGTCTGAGTAGAGATGGACAAACCCATCTCAAATTTGAATAGGGATGGCTGGGGCACCCTGATTACTCAGGAGCTCAGATTACCTTGAATCCAACTAGTTTGGGACCATCGTAGTCGCCACGCAGCTTCTGTGCGCTGTCCTGTTCTGACATAATTCTCTCCCGCTCAGGTCCGGACTTCTCCTAGAATGGTTGTTTCACCTCAACTACCCACGGACCTGCCGCCATCAGAAGAATCAAATTACTATATCCAAGCGCAATGCCTCATTCGAAGACTGCACGACGTCGTAATAGTTGCAGCAAAGCAGAGTTCGGAGATTCCTTTAACTTTAATTCTCAAATTCTCTGGCATGAAAATGCAACATCTCGGCATCACAGCAGACTTTCCGGCCCAGCAGACGGTCGGCCAGCTGGGTGTCCAGCTCGCAGCGGCGCTGCGCACGAGCTAACTGACATGAAATATGCGCCAAACAGCATTTGGGGGAAAGGCCGGGCTCTCGTGCCCAAAATGCAGCCATTTCAGGGTTGCGGGTTGGAGTATGCGTGGTGTAGAAAAAAAACCTCTTGCGCACATAGGACTAGGGTGGCTTATGATGGCAGGATATGGCAGGCACATCGTAAATCTCTAAGCACTAGTATAGTCTATGATGCTCGATATGATCTCACCTGGGTAAAACTTGAGTGGTTCCCTGCCAAGCGACCATGTATGCATCCCCCAAGCAGAATCTTGCACCCCATAGAGCGGGTCCCCAATAGACTGCCTTCCACACAAGTCCGGAAGAATGTGACGCTGGGAGACGTCTGATGTCCAGAACTCAGGAGTGCAAATCACAATTCTCGTCACAGTGCTCCACACATGAGCAATAGTCTACACTCCTTAAAAGGGGTTATATGAAGGATTCTATAGGGGTTATAAAGGGCCCAACATACCACGACTTCTGATTTGAGGTCCCCACATCTGGCTCTCCAATATACTCCCCTCCCCCGAATAGTAAACCCCCCCCCACCCCTCCTAATATTAACTACCCCAACTACTCCCATTATATGGTATATTACAATATATTGGGAGCTATTGGGAGTGTTAGGTGGGGTGGGGGGGGGTCAATATTAGAGGGAGGGGGAGTACAAGCCCGTTTTCTACGAAACCTGGCATGGCTCATGGCTCCTCGTCATCGTCATCCCCACCGCGTGCATCCTCGGGTATCCATGCATACAGGATCTTCGCGAAACTAGGGGCGCAAGCGCAACATGCATCGAACAAACCAATAGGATACCAAGTGCAGTTTGGGGCTTTGAGTGTTCCCTGCAAACTGAGTCCTTAAACTTGGATGAACTGGCTCATCTGGCTCCTGTTATTTCGCGAGTCCCACATGAAAGTTGTGTGTCTCTAAATCTTGGTCCTTCTCACGAGTACCATCCATTTCCCACTTTTGAATACACCCTGTGCAAGCCTTATCCAATAGCCTTGTACTGTAGCTTGTACATAAATGCGGCAGGCTCATCTCAAGTTTGCTTGTTGAGGCGGCCTGACTTCTCAACATTGAGTACTCTTGGGGGCCGCTAGGATATATCGGAACTACCCAAAAAATCTACGACGCCTAATTCAGCACTATCCCGGGAATCTATTGGGGAACCTCTGTTTGGCTGTACCATTACTCAAAGAAGTTGGTGAATGTTGCGTGTGAGCTGCAATATCTGCTTTTTTGCATCTTATACCAATATTTTACATGCAATTCTAGCATGCTACCTGCCCCGTGAGCATCTTCAATCCCCTTTGGTAGTCGCGATCGAGAAAGCATCTTAAGCATCCCCCATAGAAAGTCATACCTTCCCTCTGATATTCTCTAAACACCCCATCGCAAAACGCACGCCCCAAAAAGGGAATTCGTCATTCATCTTCAGCGGGTGGGGGGATGCAGAATATTCCGAGCATGTGGTAGTTTCCCAAAATATGCGGACCCCAATGTAGACCCCAAAATACTATAATCCTTATTATGGGGACCCCCAAAAGGGTACCCCTAATTTTGGGAAACCCCCATGTGATTACTTACAAGCAAAGAGTTGGTCTCAGGTCCAGACTCTGAGCCGCTTGGTGAAGAAGCGGCGTCCGCCGCGCCGCAGCAAAGCATCCTGAGTTGTGGCATAAGGTTTAGGGTGGCAATGGTTAGAGGCATGAGCCTCCTAATTATTGCCCCCGCTAATCACAAACTCCTCCACCCTGTCGGCAAAAGTTCCTTCTCGAGTTTCATAATGACGGTGTTTGCATTATGAGCGGGGTGGAGGGTCATTTTCGAGGGAGGTGAATAGGGGTGTTACGAATATATGCCAGAATACAACGGATTATGAATATTCCATTTCAGACATACAAGCCCTTCTGTTCAGTCAAATGTGCTGTAGGAAGCGTCGCAATCAACGCCCCGAAGCTGAAGCTGTTGCATTTGTCCAACCCCCCCTGCCCATCCCGCAGCTCTCACCCCGCACCATCCCAACCCACAACCCGCCCGGCCCCTGCCTTCGCCTTACATTTTGCTCGATTTCTGAAGTGCATGGCCGACTCACTGATTGTCCTGAGGCCACGACAGCGATGCTGGCTTTGGCTTGGGTGTCGCTGGTCCACCTGCCGTGCAAAATCAGCAGCATGGATTTAAGCTGTGGCCACCTGCCCGCTGCCAGCTGCTTCTGTCCTTCATCAACTGCATTGCAGCTATACTGGGCTGTAATGGTTGATAGGTCCTCGCTCCACCATGGCGCAAATCCGAACAAAAACCTGTCAGGTGCGCTTTTGGCTGAGCATGGCCCAAAGGTTCCACGCCTGGGCAGGGCATGGTGGCTGAATTTGGATCCCTTCATGCCACAACTGCAAGGGACAAGCTTTGTCCATCAAAGCGGTAGCAGCCACTAGTGTTAGTATGAAGTGCAGTCTGTTCTCGTCCGTGGTCATGCGTGCGTCGCACCCGCTATCTTCAAAGCTGTGTTCCGGGCCAACAGCGCCATTAGCGGAAGCAGCCTGAGCATCGACAGGAGTAGGCACGCCTGATTGTCACTACCGTGTACTGGAGTGCTGCACAGTTGCAGCGTCCGTGCCATGAACTTACAATTTCAGAACAACCCTTGCAAAGCAGTACGGGTATTGTTCTATGCTACTGCTACTTACCTGCCGCTCGGCCGTCCACACAACGTGAGTTGTTCTCCATCAAACATCTGGCCACAAAATCGCAAGATACAAGGGTGACCAAGGAAATCCCGAAACAAATGGGCAACAACTTGAATTGCAGGCCCTGAACGCCCCACCCCGCGTCATGGACCTTCAGTTGGGCGAAATCCATTCGGCTCCCTTCTAACTCCCCCACCAAAAAAATTCAACTATGACCCCCACTCAAAACATCCGAAACGGGGTCTCGGTTCCCACCCGTATCAAGCATAACACAGCAGTGTCACCTGCTTCGTCGCATCCCATCCACCGGGCCAACAGGACCTCGACTGGAACTGAGTGAGGGCTTCTATGCACCACATCGTTTGGGACCATTTTCGGGAAGGGCGAGCCGAGTAAACACTGAAAAACTGTCGTTTGCGTCCATGTCACGACACATTTTGCGGCATTTCTCGAACCTGGAAAGGTAAGTGAATGACTATGAACATCGAAATCAAGCAGACAGATTGCTTCAAGATCCGTAACAAGCGCTTCAACTGTGGCAAGGCCAACGATCGACAGCTGAGCCAGGGATAGCCATTGATTTCTTGGAGTTGTTGGCCTTTAGGGGACGTCGCCTTCACAAATGGATCCAAATCCTGACGCATGCGGGAATATATGGGGGGCCGGTTTGCCAACAGGTTGGGAGGAGCCCTGCTGAACTGAGAGCAGCACTTGCCTGCAGGCTTGTTACCCAACCCCAACTACAACAGCTTTGGAGCCAACAAGGTAATCCGCACGGGACGAAATTCCAGGGCAGGCTCTCTTCCTTGTAGTCAAGGACGTCCATCAAGCAGCTTTTTGTTTCCACTGATTCTCAGAGCCTTCGCTCTCAAGCTCTTGCTTTTGTAGCAATGCGGCTATGGTACCCATCCCGTACCACCTCCAGCACACAGGCGTGGTGTTGTGGTCTGGACCACCACCGGGACAAAAGGCATTATGATGACTTTGCCATGCAAAAGTGAAACACATCTGCAGCAATACTGTTGCAGCAACTACCACCCTTGGTGGACAGAGTGTTCAGTACGTGGCATGACAATAGTTTATGTAATATAAAAGCCCGAAATTGGGGAACAGGATTTTGGCATACACCTATGTTCAAGATGAGTTCGGGGACTGCAAGGTCCCCCCCCAACAGCAAGCTCAGCCCCACTCAAAACTCCCAGCTCAAGCCCCGCCCCCAAACCCGTCGTATCAACCGAAAACGAACGAAATCAAACCTGATTGTCACCTACTGACTCACGTGGCTCTAGCTTCGCTTTCGAGGCCTGGCAGCAACCGATTAGCAGCCGCACATTCTGACTGGAACTGAAACGACACTCTGTGTGATCAAAACGCTATCCCCTGCTCCATAAGAATGACTGCTACCCTGTTACCTCGATCAGCTGGCATTTTAGTGCCTTGTTTGTAAAGGTTGCCCATCTCTATGTCATTTTATGCAGGCACCTCAGGCCTTTGCCACCAGAGTTGCAGCGCTGCACTAACTGCTGGGCCACCGACTCCATGTCCTGCAGACTCCAAGCACCAAGGTTTTCTAAAAAAGGGTTTATATGAAAATGCTGGACCCGTTACAAACCGTGAATTCCAGGGTCCCGGGTTGTTTGGCAGCTACGTCGGATGAGTTTAGGAAATCCTGTTCTTGGGCTCATCCAATTTGATTCACAAAACCACACACTACCCAAAGTTAGCTGGCCTGGCACCGGTGCTCAGCTGCGGTCAACTTCTCCTGTCACTCCAGCTTGGCCAAAACTGCTCAGAACTCGGCAGCCGTTACGATACCACATGCACGATGGTCCAACGGGCTGTTGGCATCGTGGAAATTAAAACAAAACTCACTCAAAGTGTTTTGCGCCATCCCTGCCTGCAAACGGAGTTGGACTTCGAGGACCTCTGCGAACATCAGCCGCGCTTCAGAGTGCGAATTGTGACGTGTGAAATGCATGCGTGTCGAAGAAATGCCAGTACCCACTTAACAAAACCAGACCACGAAAACTGTGAACACAAACCATGGTTCTTCCTTGGTTGAATGGCTACTTCAAACCTGCCTCCACATGGCGAAGATCAGCAAGGAGGGCCAGCTCATTGGCTGCCTTTGAGATTGGCTTGATTGATGTCAGTCATCAATGCCGCGCCAACACGACAAATGTAATTTTCTTCACCGCTTCCACGTCTTGCCTCTGCCATAGCCCATGCTCGTTGCTCAGCGGCCTGTCAATCATACTAGCGCTCGGTCACGCCGCTTGAGCAAACAAACAGAAACCACAAGAAGCAAATGCATTGAACCGACCAGCCTCTGCACGTGCAGAAGACATCAGCAGCTCTTGCTGAGCCTTGCGTCCACATGTTGCAAGGGCCGATGTTTCCTCAAACTTCCAACCTCTTTGCGCAGCGCATCTTTTTGCAAACTGAATAAGGTTTGGCACTGCGGGCCTCGTCCGCCCTTTCGTTGGCCTTGCGGCAGCTTTCCTGATAAACGGAAAGATTTTTGGTCCGCCCTGCCCCCCCCCCCGCCCCCCCCCACCCGCTTTTCGAATTTGAACTCATGGTTGAACTTTTAATTCGCTGACCTGCTGAAACAGCGCGTTTAGCAAAAACTCTGCTGGACATCCTAACACATTACCTAGTGCTCCTGCAACTGGCTGAAAATGCAGGCCTCAAGGGACACGCACTTTTCCCGCAGAGCCTGCAGCTCCTGTCAGATTCTGCTTCTTGGCTACAGATGGTCCTCCCAGCCCAACCGCTCCAAAGCGAAGGGGTACATCCTGTTCCCATTGCTACCAAACCGCAACTGTTCACATCCAAGTTGCGCATGCCTGGTTTTTGGGACCTTTTCAGCTTTATCTACCAGAAGTCCAAACTGCACAATTTCTACAGTAGAATCCAGCTGGAGGCAGTCCTTTTGCAAATCCAAGTTGGCCGTCTGCTGCGAAGCATTTGGCGGCTCTGTAGGCGTGCTGCCGACTGGCCAGGCGAAGACACGCGCCGAGCATGCCCAGTAGATTTACTGATGGCAATTGGACTGTCGAATTTGTTCTGTCCATGCTGCCCTTGCGTTCTGGTCTGCCGTCCAGCGCCTGAGCTGTGGACGCCTCCGACAACTGGCACTGAATCTTCGGCTTTCACGGCCTCTGCGCGTCCAAAAACATGCCCTTGCGGCACAATCGCTCAACTTCCCCCAAGGCAATGCAGTCATTACTTTAGTCAGGCTACCCCCGCCCAAATCAACAAACATTTCGAGAAGCCCAACGAAGAAACAATCCTCGGCCCCTGCTGCGACTGCCCGACAGCGACGTTGACCCTCAGCCGGCAGATTCACGTTGTTAAGCTACCTTCTCCCACTCTTCTTTGGTGTAGGAGGATACGGATTCTCCAACTTTCTGGCTTCTACTGGGCCACAGACTGGGTCTGTCTTGAAATTATGTAAATGTGTTTGGCGTGCGTAGAATCGAACACAGAACACCCACTTTGAGAAATACAATGAAGCGGGAGGTTCCCCAAATGGGGATCTGCCATGTTCAGTCATTCGTTGTCTGCCTTTTGGTTATCTATGTTTTGTGAAGCTTGCAGGTCGAGGTTTTGCTCCAAGTCCCGAGCTGCCCTCTTGTCGCGCTCTTGCTCATGAAGCGCCTGAGCTTGGCGAGCATCAAGATATCGCACTAAAGCTGCAGGTAGGCCAGATAGCAGGTCGGCACCAGCAGGCTTATCGTATCTGTTGCACACGCGAAAGCAGAGTCAAACACGACCAGCTGTCTTCATGAATGCCTATGCCTGAGAAAGTGCTGTGGTTCGTTGCGTCACGTCTTCAGCACCAGACTGCAAACTCTTGCCGGAGGGACCGGGTGTCGACCTCTGCAAGAGCTTGACACACAATGATCACAGCCTAAACATGTACGATTCTCCCCTGCAGATGTTCTACAGATTACCACGTATCAAATGCAGCAACTTTTTTTTTTGGGCCTGATTTGCCTGATTTCCTGACTGGCGAGGGCTGCCGAGGAAGGGCATAAGCTTCCGCACATGCATTCGCACTGCTTGTCTGGGTGCACCGCTCGGGATCCCAGAACGTGACCTGATGGAAAATACAAGAACGGTTGGCACTTAGTGATACTTGCAGCCACTGCTTGCCAAAGCCTTCCACAAACAGCTCCTGTAGGTTCATCGCGTGCCAAATCCCAAAGCAGAAGCTCATCTGGGCCCCAGACGGAAATCTGTAGCACCTTGATAGGGCTGTTGCAGCGGATCTGGATCCGTATCGCCTGCGGTGGAACTTTAGCAAGCCAGAGTGAGAGAACGTGCGACCAGTGGCCCCAGCTAGCCGGAAATATCTAACAATTAACAGCACAACTGCTGCAACTGCTCAGCGACTGCATGCCCAAGGAGCGGAAACAGTCATGGTAATGGCACTAGCGGCAGAGGCACTCTCCATGAACAAAATCGCGTTGATGCTATTCAGCAAGTAGCCGAGGTTTGCACCATCTTCAGATTCCGGTGCCTTGCGGGCCGGGCACTGCTTGGAGACAGCTGAGAGCAGGCAAAAGTAGGATTCGCTTGAGCTCAAAGAAGCCGTTTTTGCCCACCGGGCAGCTTGCAACTGGAAAGCGACGTATTTTGTGTTGGGACCTGCTAAACATGAACAAGCTGTGCGCAGGCTGCGGCGTTTTGGGGGGGGATTCCATCTGTTCCTGGTCGGAAGCCCAGAGATTTTTTACTGTGTGTACAGCCTTGCAGTAGCTTGGTTTTCAGAAACGTCTAACGCTTCAGCACAGGTGCGAAGCATGCGTCATCGAGCATCAAAGTTCACGGAGACTTCTGCGCTTCAAGTCGAAGCTCAAGTGTGATGCTGCTCCTACTGCTATCAGTGGGGATCCCCGGGAAGTTGGTCCCATGGCCCATAGCCATCTCCTTGCAAGACCGTCGCACTGCGTACTGCTTCTCACTGCATGGCTGCAATGATGCCGAGATGCTACGTGGAGACGCTCGCTTTCCCTGCGAGCAGCAGCCTGCGCAAAAGCGTGGTCAGTCTAAGAAAACCATGATGAAGCATGGGTGGCAACCTTGGGCACGTTAAAATGTTCGCATATAAGAGGAGGTGCTAAGGAGATCATCAATAAGCCGCTTTGAGGGCTCGGAACTTCTGTCCAGAGGGGAAGCAAGAGGTACACTGTCGGGATTGGAAATATCACCTTGGCAGATGTCTACCAGAAAGAAGGAGGACCTTCCTTTCCCAATGCTGTTCAAAGCGTTTATGTGACGCTTCTTATTGTTGCAAAATTCCCAGGCTTCTCCAACTTCCTTCTCACGTCTGCATAGAGCCCAGTTGCTGCACTCTCAAAACCGAATATATAATCTCTCCATTTGTCGCTCTGCCACTCCCAAGAAATTCTGCAGCTTTTTCTGTTTAAGAGTGTCTATTATGGTATGATTACGGTATAATATAGTATAATCTGGTATGATATCGTATATTCTGGTAGAAAATATTACGTTATGGTATATCGTAGTATATTAATTATGGTATATCATAGCATATCACAATATGAGCTATAGTCTAAATTCCTACTATCCCCCTTAATAACCCCCATAGTAGTCCCCTATATAATCCCCCCATATAACCCCCCCTTAAGGAGTTTAGACTATAGCTCATATATTAGCATCTGGGACTGCTGCCAATCGAGCACGGGGCTGTCCGCCGAGCCTGAGCGTGTCTGGTTGGAGTGTGCCTTTTCCGCGATTCATCTTGGTATATTATGGGATACTACAGTATATCATAGTATATCATGATGTAGTAAAGTATATAATGGAAGGTTATAGTATATTATAGTAATTATGGTACATTTTGGTGCGCTATGCTGCATGCACCACACGTTGAATAAAGCGCTTGATGGTGCGGTCTATTGTTCAATCAAGGTGAAAAAAGACCAGGGTTTGGACGTGTGTGTATATATACCCTATTATAATATGGCTCCATATAGTAGTTTCCTTTGTATTTTCCATTATCCCTCTATTTAACCCCACAATATAAGGATAGTGGAAAATAAAATGGAAACAATCACATGTTTGAGGCGCCCCCCCTTCGGTAGGGGTTTGACTCTTGCACTTGTGCTACAACACGAATGCATCTAGCGTCGTGCTGCATCTGCAAACCCTTAGCCCCCAGGCGGTCTACCAAGCGAAGCGCTTCGCCTTTCCTGCGCAGGCACCACATGCGTGTGTCCCAAAATTCAATCCATAAAAGGCCAGTAATGCGATGTAAAGCCCTTCCATCAGGAAGGACTACAAGGATGGCCGATGAACCTAAACGGAATGAGATGTGCGGAGGCTACTGCAGAAATCTGGAGAAAGCGGCGCCAAATGATGTTCTTTGTGTTTGGACTTGCGCATTAGACTATAGCTGCGGGGAGGCACGTAGTGTCCTGCGCCTTAAGCCGTTGCTTTGCTTGCCGTGATCTTGACATAGTTTGACGTGCGCTGGCCCTTGTGCTACTACAATGCTGGGATGTCGTACTTCGACAGAGCAGGCACATGCCTCCTTCCCATCACTCTGACGTCAGACCCGTGCAGATGCAAAATGCCGAGAGAATACCCCAAGCTTGCAGCAATCACCCCAACTATCCTCTTGCCCCTGCTGCCAAATCCCCTCTTCAACAACCACATGAAAAAATTACACCCTGCCTCCTGGCGGATAAGTCCAGAGGGCTCTGCACTTCCCCTGCATAGTGGGCATATGAGCCCATGATCTTTCAGCAAATGAAATGGGGGATTATGAATACTATAGGACTACATTCAATTCCAGTCTCAGACTGGGGTCATCGGGGTTTCGAAGCCTTCTCGACCGAAACTAAAGACAAAATGTGGATCGGACCTTTAGGGACGGCCTTTTCCAGGTGCTTTCGAAAGGGAGCTAGAGGCTCCCGCAATGGTAGTAGCATTGCATCATAGATCATCGTAAAGATGCCGCACTCAAAGAACTTGGCTCCTCGCAGGTTGTGCAGCAGCTTGTCCAGCCTGAACGGAGTGGAGCAGAGTCAGCTTCGTTGGCGATGGGTAGGGCATTTTCGCCTGTTCATGGGGGAGACGAAGGGTAGAGAGGCTTTGAGCAATTTGTGGTTGAGAAGCTCCCCAAATATTTCTGGCTGACCCTTTTCCAAGAGCTCCGCTGGTGAGTGCGACTCCGTAAGCAGCTCTCTAGCCTCGATGCGGCTTCAGGGTGGATGGGCGGGTGGATGGGCTCATAGCGCTTAGAGTTTCCGACAAACCTACACCAAACAATTCACAGCTGAAGTTGCTCACCTGATGATGTGCGATGCTTGACCGGAAGCCGTTGGATGTCAGAGTGCACCATGCCACTCTTGAACTACATGGTTGGTGGTTTGTTGACTTCCGGGAATGTTTGCATCACTCTGAGCACGCACAACACTGCCCTTGCTCTCAGCCCAGCACTGCTCCACCCTTTCTGACAATTGCCTCTCCTGCAGGCAAGCACGCAGCGCTCGCATATTCATGGCCGCGATCAAAAACGAGCTCCATTTACTTGGTAGTTTCCCAAAATGAGGGCACCCCAATAGGGACCCCAAAATACTGTAGCCCTTAGTATAGGGACCTCCAAAATGGTACCCCCAATTTTGGGAAACCCCCACTTCTGACTCATAATTCATGACACATGTGATACGTGGTCCTGAAGAGCTGCTGCAGTTTCCAGAGCAAGCTCAACCACATGATGTTGACAGCTCTGAAAATGAAGACTTGCCTCATGCTGCTGTGCCATCAGCTCCTGCCGAAGTCGACGGCACTCCTCCAGGGTGTGCGAAAAAAAACTGTACATGCACAAGGTTACAAGGACCTGTGCAAAGATTTGCCTGCGCAGTTGCTGAGATGCATGTTGATGCAGGCTGATGCGGTCATGTCAGTTTTCTCGGATCTCTGCTCAATGCCTATGGGGCCTTCCTCACTGTTTATTCCAACAACCTTCTGCAAGTTGTTTGGATCATCTCATGGTTGTGGCATCGCTCGCAGCTTTGGAACTTGTAAACGGGGGAACTGTAAACCTGGACATCTTGGTGAAGAGCCCAAAGCTCAGCTCTCTAGACAACAGGCGGCTCTTAGGTGTAAACACCTAAGGCAGAAATCACTAAGAAGGAAAAAGTGCCCACGAAACCAACACAAGATGCTTGTCAGAACTTCATCCCTCGCAAAATAGGCTCTTAATCCCTCTTTGGACGCACACCATCCCTGCAGCAAATGCCAGTCCGTCAAACTTGAGCACTCAGACTTGGGCATCATCCTGCTAAACGCCTTTTTCACAACATTCGCCGCGCTCACTTTGTCAGGACTCTGAAGCAGGCTAGAACCACATGCAGTCACGCTGTCTGCCGACCGGGTAATCCCCTTGATTTCTACCCCAGCTCCGGAACCGTGTGCCAACTTGCCCACCGGAGAAAGTCGAAAGAGTGGGATTGCTCCGGCCAGCAAGGCCACAAAAGGAGGCCAACATGACCACATCAGCTCTCAACTTGACTCGGGGCTGCTCGAGCTGTTGTACCGACAACGGTCGTAACTAGGAGCACGAAGGCACGCTAGACGTATGCTGTTGCTATTGGTAGCAGCAGCAGCAGCAGCAGCAGTAGTCATGGTGGTGGTG